GAACTCAGGGTTGTGAGATTGAGCCCCGCCTAATGTGGAACCTGCTTAAAATTTTCTCTGCCTGTTGCCCCACCCTCTAAAAAGAAGCAAAAATAAGTAAAAAAAAAAAAAATCAAATTAAAAGGCTTCTGCATAGCAAAGGAAACCGCTAAAGGAAAAGGCAACCTATGGAATGACAAAATATTTGTAAACTATGTATCTGATGAGGGGCTAATATCTAAATTGTATAGGGAATTCATTCAATTCAATAACAAAATAATAAGTAATCCAATTAAAAATGGGTAAAGAACCCGAATATACATTTTTCCAAAGAAGAACTACAGATGACTATCAATTATATGAAGGGGTGTTCAACATCGCTGGTCAGGGAAATACAAATCAAAACTACAGTTGAGGTATTATCTCACCTGTTACGGTTATTATTAAACAGACAAGAGGTAAATATTATTAGCACATGGAGAGAAGAGAACTTTTGGTGGGAATGTAAATTGGTATAGCTATTATGAAAAGCAGTATGGAGATTCCTCAAAAAATTCAAAATAGAACTACCATATGATCCCACTTCTGGATATATATTTAAATGAAATTAGTATCTAGAGATACTTGCAACTCACATCATGTTCATTATGGGAATAGTCACAATATCCAAATATGGAAATGATGGTTAAGTATCTGTTAGTAAATGAATGAATAAAGAAAAAGGGTGTGTGTGTGTGTGTGTGTGTGTGTGTGTGTGTGTGTGTATGTATACACACACACAGGAACGTTACTCTGCCATTAAGAAGAAGGAAATCCTGCCACGTGGGACAGCATGGATGAACCTGGAGGACATTATTACTAATAAGTGAGATAAGCCACACAGAGAAAGTATTGCATGGTATCACTAATATGTGGAATCTAAAAAAAAAAAAAAAAGTCGAGCTCATAGAAACCATGACCTAGAAACTGTGACTAGGTCCAATCACTAGAATGGGGATTGCCACACTAGGGAATGAGTGAATAGGGGAGATGTCAGTCTAACAGTATAAACTTTTAGTTAGAACTAAGATGAACAAATTCTGAGCATCAAATTTATAGGAAGATGATTATAGTTAATAATACTGTACCATGTACTTGAAATTTGCTTCAAGAATAGATCTTAAACATCTCACCACAAAAAGAAAAAAGTAAATAGGTGATAGATGCATCATTAATTAACTTGATTTTGGTAATCATTTTACAGTATATACACATAACAAATTATTACCCTGTACACTTATGTGTATGTATGTATGTATGTATGTATGTATGTATGGCTTTCTTAGTGAATCTTGGGGAAAAAGCCAGATATGTTACCAGTGTCATAGTCTTTATTCTAGCATTAAACAGTAAATCTTGATATCTGGTAAGGAACGTCATCCCACCATAATAATTCTTTTTTTTTCCTCTTTCACCAAAATGGCTTGTTCTTTGCTGTTCTTTCTCCAAAAAGGGTTTTTGAAAAAAACAACCTATAGGGATTTTGATTGGACCAGTTTCTTAAATCTATGGTTTACTGGTGTGAGAATTGACATCTTTAACATTTTTAAGTCATTAATTTGTTTTCATAGTTTTATTTTCTCCATAGTGTTTTTGCTCATCTTGGGTAGAGTTATGTCCAGATAATTTACTTCTTTTGTTAATTTAAATGGGTACCATTTTTATGTTAAATACTTTTAATATTTGTTGCTGGTATATAAAAAATGCAATTGATTGTTAAATATTGATTTTATATCTAGAAACTGCTATATTTTAATTCTCTAATTTATCTACACGTTCTGGATTTTCTCAGTAGTAAATAAGTCATCAGTTGCATGTTATGATTACACTCTTCCTTTCTATCTCTGTACCTCCCCCCACACGCCACCCTCCTTTAGCTTTCTGCAATGGTTAGACGTTCTGTGCATTGTTAACAGAGGTTACAGTGGAAGGCAGCTTGACTGTGTCATGCCTGCAGAGTCCTTCACCATGGAGTTTCTGTTATTGTCAGACCTCATCTCCATCCAGCTTCCTTTCTTCTTTGCTTACTCTCTAGCCCTACTTGCCTTCTTGTTTGCTCTGAATAATCAAGGCACGTTCCCACCTCAGGGCTTTTACATTTGTTACTCCATCGGCTAGAAGTTGCTTCCTTTACATGCTTTCGAGGCTTAACTTCATTTATTTATTTTTTTAATAAATTAATTTTTATTGGTGTTCAATTTACCAACATACCGAATAACACCCAGTGCTCATCCCGTCAAGTGCCCCCCTCATTGCCCGTCACCCAGTCACCCCCACCCCCGCCCTCCTCCCCTTCCACCACCCCTAGTTCGTTTCCCAGAGTTAGGGGTCTTTATGTTCTGTCTCCCTTTCTGATATTTCCTACCCATTTCTTCTCCCTTCCCTTATATTCCCTTTCACTATTATTTATATTCCCCAAATGAATGAGAACATACACTGTTTGTCCTTCTCCCATTGACTTACTTCACTCAGCGTAATACCCTCCTTTAGATTACCGTTCTCGGGCAGCCCCGGTGGCGCAGCGGTTTAGCGCCACCTGCAGTCCAGGGTCTGATCCTGGAGACCGGGGATCGAGTCCTACGTCGGGCTCCCTGCATGGAGCCTCCTTCTCCCTCTGCCTGTCGTCTCTGCCATTCTCTCTCTCAGTGTATCTCTCATGAATATAAACAAAATCTTTAAAAATAAATAAAATAAATAAATTACCGTTCTCATTTTGCCTTTTCCTTAGCTACCATATCTTTGAAAACAAACAGTAGCTTTATTGCAGTATATTTTACATATCATATACTTTGCCCATTACAGATGTCCACTTCAGTAGTTTTTAGATTTGCCAAGTTGTGTAACGTTGGTCATTAATCAGTTTTAGAACATTTTCATCACCTTAATAATATCTCTGTGCCCATTTACTGCTAATCTCTAGTCCTACCCCAACCCTAGGCATCTACTGATTGACTGACTCCATAGATTTGCCTCTTATGGACATTTTATGTGATCTCTTGTTTCATGCTTATTTCACTTAGTATCATGTTTTGGGGGTTCATGAGTGCTATAGTATGAACAGTACTTCATTTCCTTTTTTGGCTGAAAAACATTTCATGGTATGGATGTATCACATTTTGTTTATCCATTTGTTAGTTGATCAACATTTGGTAGTTTCTAATTTTTGGCTAGTATGAATAATCCTAGCCACCCTTTCTTAAAGAGCAACGCTTCTTTCCTATACCACAGTTTTTCCCTTCTACATTTTGTATTTCCTTGTTGTCACTATTTAGCATTTCATATTTTACTTATCTTGTTCATCTCTTTTCCCTAGAATATAAGCTCCACAAGGGCAGAGATTTTTGTCTGAAATTGATCACTATTGTACATTAAGTCCTGGAACTGTCTGGTACATTGCAGGCAGTAAATGTTTATGGAATCAATAAAGGAATAAGTGAATGGATGGATTGGATGTTACTGTACACTGTATTAAATACTGTATATTGTATTAAAATATTTTTTATTTAAGTGGCTTGATGTTTCTGGAATATTACTATTTTTAACTTTGTGATGATTTAGGATATATCAAGGCGCTTTCCAGAGATTGCTTGTATTTATAGGGTTTTCACCACGTGTGACTTTTTACTTATATAGTTATCAGTGTTAAAATCACTCTGACACTGTAGTATGGGGTCTGGGCATGGAATCACGTGTAGTTATAAACACAGTGGTCTGGTGTGGAAAGGGTATTTGTCAGAACACACAGCACCCTAAAGCCTATCCTGCTTAAGTCTTAGTCCCTACTGGAAATTCACATTTTGGGGACATTTTTCTTGCATATGTATGTTATGATTTGATAGAGGACGTCTCTTGGTAAGGTAGTATTTGAGTATGGTTGATAGTCTGTTATTAACCTCTAAGAACTGACGCAGTCACCTTATTGGTACATCCTTATTTTTAGAAGTAAATACAATTCTAACACATTAACTTAAATCAATGTTTTATAAAACAAAATATATTTTAAGTATTCATTGAGAAGCTCACTGTTGAAAGAAGTGATTCTCTACTCACCCCTTCTATATATTTGTTGAGAATCAGAATTATTTTATATTTTAATTTTGTTTCCTAGCAAATAAAAAGAGAAAATCTGATTTTAGCATTTTATTCTGTGACATACCTTTGGTTTATAATGAAGAGAAGACAGTTTTTTGTTTTGTTTTGTTTTTGTCCCTTTGGATTACCCATTTCAGCTTTGTTTACATTTTGTAATTTACTAGCTTGTTATCTATTTCATTATTTTCAGTTTTTTTATTAATTAAAGATTTATTTATTTTATTTTTATTTATTTATTTATTTTTTAAGATTTATTTATTCATTCAGAGAGAGCGAGAGAGAGGCAGAGACACAGGCAGAGGGAGAAGCAGGCTCCATGCAGAAAGTCCAATGTGGGACTTGATCCCGGGTCTCCAGGATCACACCCCGGGCTGCAGGCGGCGCCAAACCGCTGTGCCACCGGGGCTGCCCTAAAGGTTTATTTTAGATGATTACTTTTCTAGGACATTGTGTCTCTCAGAGTTCATGAATTTTCTTTTTTAAGGCATATATTTTAAGTCCATTGTCACTTTTCTCCTCCTCTTAATAGTTGATTATGTTCCGTGTTTCGTGATATTGTCTATTTTAGCACTTTAAATCTATTTTTTTTATAAATATCACTAAGCTTCAAATAGTTTCTTAGTTTCTATTTCTCTATATTTGGATTCTCTGTCTTAGGCAACAAGCTAAACTTGAATATTAGATTGTTAAGTACTTGATGACAAGATGTTGCTGGAATCTCTTTATGTAATAGGTTTCCTTTTTGCAATAAAATACTTCAAAATAAAAATACTGATTTATCTAGTTTTAGTTTATGTGATTTGGTCTAAAATGTTTTTCCTCTTTTGTATTTTCTCAGGTGGTGTTTTTTCCATGTAAATTTTTTTAATTGTCATCTATTTTTGGTGCAGATAAATACTGAGGAACATGTGGATGCAGCTGATCAGGAGGTTATCTTATGGGATCATAAGATTCCTGAGGACATCCTAAAGGAAATAGCCACCCCTAAAGAAGTGCCGGCAGAAAGTGTTACTGTCTGGATTGATCCACTTGATGCTACCCAGGAATATACAGGTGACTTTACATTAAAATTGATCAAGCTTTTGAATGCCATTATATATTGGCAAATGAGAACAAAGGCAAGTAGTGTATACTTGGTGGTATATACTTTACCAGTCTTACACAGCTTTTCCAATTAGAATTTAATTTAATCCAATTGGCTGGATTAATGCAGTGTGGTATGAAACTGTTGGACTGGGTCATTTATTCTCAACCTTTCCCCTGACCTCAAAACTACCATATTGTGGCATACTTCTCTTCCTGATAGTGATTCATTCTATCACTGACCCTTTAGTGAAGGGACATTTTTAGCAGTCACAACAATAAAATGGTTCCTATTGAACACCTATGTATTGAGGTATTTGTTTGTATATTGAGTTATATATTGAGATGTGAGTTTCAGTATTTATTTATATAGGCAGGATACAATATTTACTTGTGATTTGGGGAACTTAGGTTTTATTACATATACATCTATCTTTGGGATTCAAAATAGTAAGTCCTAGGCACCAGGAGTAATTAAGTAGCAAAACAGAATTACTGCCTTCACCCCCATTTTCTTTGTTTTTTTTTTTTTTTTTTACCTGAAATCCTAGCTCAGATTTCATTTCTGTAGCTCCTCTCTTATGCTTAGTTTCTTACCGAGAGATATCTAATTCCTCCCTTTTCTCTGTTCCTTTGGTGTATATGGTAAAGTTACTTGCTTATCTATGTGAACTCCTTCTAGATGGTAAGTCCTCTTAATTTGGGGCCTTCTGGTTTTTCATCTTTGTATTCTCGTCCTTAAGCACTGAACTTGACCCATAATAGACACTCAGTAGGTAACTATTTGGAGAACAGGAGGAAGACCTAGGTGTCTAATAGTAAAAATTAGAAAATATTTTGCTAAAGTAAGTAATAGAAATATGGAATATTGAGGGCTTTTTTCAATAAAAAATTTTCCTAGACCAAAATTGGCCGCATCATATAATAGTGGTAATATTTAGTGAGTGCATCCCTTGTGCAGGGACAGGGACTGTTCTAATTATTTGACTTGATTCTTAAATTCAAAACTAAAATTTTAAATTATTTATTTTAATAATTTTGTTACTGTTTTTTGTCGTCTTTTTTCCTCATAGAGGATCTTCGAAAGTATGTCACTACTATGGTGTGCGTGGCTGTGAATGGTAAACCTGTGCTAGGAGTAATACATAAACCATTTTCTGAATATACAGGTAAGAGATGCACTAGAGCTTTTAAGAGTTAATGCTATTAAGTCATTTGCTATAGTACTTACTATCCTGTCAGAATCTTAGCTGTAGCTCAGTAATTATTAAAGTCAATCCCCTACCTTACCTTATCCTCTCATTGGATACAGTGAGGATTTTCTTGTTGGTAATGATAATATATGATGAAGCAAAACTTCCTAAACTTTCTTTAGAGGATAGAAACTGTGACTGACAATAAGAAATAGTTAGTGTTGAGGAATTGAGGAATACAGTCGGGCACAGACTTCCCAGCAGCTGAGTTCTCTCTCTGTTTCTCTTGTGCTGTTGCTGGGGATAAGGCCCAGGGCTCTTACACATTGGATTCCATGTGGATTCTGAGATCCACTATCAAGTGGCCTTAGCCAAATCTGTTGTCATGTTAGGAAACGAGCTTGATACTGTGGTGGTTAAGGGAAATGGCAAGTTGGCAGCCTCAGTGTCAAAATTCGATGGTATTAATGGTGAAAGTCTTATTTATCAGGCTAATCATAGTGTATCTCTGGGCATTCTTTAGAGTTCCATTTGACCTTTGCCTATCCCATTTCTTGATGTAGTCATGTTTGTTAGCTTTGTGCAGATGGCAGGTCAGATCTTTGATCGTCAACGTTGGGAGTTGGCAGTGTGGAACACCATGCCAAAGAGTTTCCCATGCAGCTCAGGATGACCTTGCCCAGAGCCTTCCGGTGCTAGTGGATACTGGCATGACATTTTGGTATCACCACAGCCATTATACTGTAGTTTGCCAGAGAGGCTAGCCATAGTCTTAATAGAAGTGATAGTGCGGTCTGTGGTACAAGTCCAGAATGATGCTGACTTATTATGGTGAAGTTGAGGGAAAGAGTGAGTGGTGTAAGCTATACCACTGACAGTCTAGAAGGACTCCTCATACTTTTAATTGGCAATTCCCATCAAGAACATGGGGGCAAGGATTATGGCCTTTTGGCTCCACTATTCTCTAAAATCATGAGTTTTTTTTTTTTTTTTAAGATTTTATTTATTTATTCATGAGAGAGAGAGGCAGAGACACAGGCAGAGGGAAAAGCAGGCTTCATGCAGAGAGCCTGACGCAGGACTCTATCCTGGGTCTCCAGGATCATGCCCTGGGCTGAAGGCGGTGCTAAACCACTGAGTCACCTGGGCTGCCCAGATCATGAGGTTCTTGATGGTGACAGTATGTATCCATTTTGCCAGTGCTGGCATTGAAAACAGCCTTAATGACAAGGCGTCTCATGGGTTGAATAATCCCCCCCTCAAATTCATGTTCACCCCTTTATTATTTTCCTAGGGCTATCATAAAAACAAAAAGAAAACCCACAAACTGTGTCTTTAAACAACAGATATGTAGTCTAACACAGTTTTTGCAGCTAGAAGTCCAAAATCAAGGTGTTGGCAGAGACATGCTCTCTGAAACCTCATGTAAGGGAGAAATCTTCCGTATTTTTCTCTTAGTTTCTAATAGTTTAACATGAGTCTGTTGTGTTCCTTGACTGGTGAACACATCACTCCAGTCTCTGCCTTCATCACCTCATGACATTCTGCCCATGTATCTGTGTCTCTGTGTCAGTTCTCTTCTTATAAAGACACCAGTCATACTGGAGTAAGATTCCACCCTAGCCCCCATGGCCTCATCTTAGCCAATTACATCTACAATAACTGCATTTCCAAATTAGGACAAATTCTTCTGTTCTGGGGATTAGGACTTCAACATTTATTTTGGTGGACCATAATCTAATAACAATCAGAATTTCAGAATGTGACTTTATTTGGAAGTTAGGTCTTTACCAGTGTAATTAAGGTAGGTATCCGGATGAGATCATGGAGAGTGTCCTTATAAGAAATCCAGGTTCCATCTACAGCCATACCACCCTGAATGCGCTTGATCTCATCTGATCTCGGAAGCTAAGCAGTGTCGGGCCTGGTTAATACTTGGATGAGAGAAACCCAGATTCCAGAGACATGCAGGGGATAAGAGGATGGGATGGTGGAGGAGGTACAGATTAGGGTGATACGTAAAAGCCAAGGAGCACCAAAGATTGCTGGAAGCTAAAAGGCATGCAGTGAATTCTTCCTTAGAATTTCCAGAAGGGATAAACCCTCCCAATACCAATATCTGGATTTTGGACATCTAGCCTCCAGACTGTGAGAAAATAAATTTTTCTCCTTCTAAGCCACTGTGTTTATGGTAATTTTTCATGACAGCCCTAGGAAACAAATCCACCCAGCCTCCATCCAGTTCTGTCATTCACTCCACCCTTCTCTACTGTGTCTCAGTGGTGTGGCTGACACTGCACAAAAAAGGCTGGCTGTCAAGTGGACAGAAATGGAGACAAGGTTAATTTTTGATTGCATCCCAAATTCCAGCTCCTCTGAGATAGGCTGAACCATGTACTTGACTATTGGCTCTGCATTTCAGGACCAACTCTGCTTTGTGTTATCTGACCTTTTATCATCTTTTCATAATTCAGATAGTTCTTACAGTTGGCAATTTGACAAGCCATGAAAGATTTATGTCTTTACTGTGACAGTGTGCCTTAAAGTTAATTATAATTGCTTTGTGGTTTGTGGACTGCTTTCACATGTTTCCTTTAATCCTTACTGAATAAGTGGGGGTATAGGTTAGGCTGCTAATTTAGGCTGCTGTAATAAATTGTACCAAATACCAGAGGTTGGACAAAATAATTGATTTCTCTAACAGCCTATGTGGAAGCAGTCTAGGCACTCAGGCTATTCTCTCTTGCTGCTTCATTGTACTAAATCTTGTTACCCTCTTCTGCATGACTGAGGATGGCTCTACGCATTTCACCAATGGAGAGGATCAAAAGGGAGACAAGGAGGACATTCTAGGGGTTTGACCTATAAGTTACACACATCACTTCAGCTCACATCCCACTGACCAAAAACTTTATTGAACCCAGCTGCAGGGGAGGCTAAGAAATGTGATCTTTATTTTCAGTAGCCATCCAAGCATCCAGTTCAGGGGTTCTGTCACTTAGAGAAAATAAAGCAGGTGGATATTGGAGTATCACTTAACTTAGAAGTATTGCTACACTTAGTGTATAACGCATGAGGAAGGGTACACTTACTACTAATACAACCACTTACAGATGAGAAAATGAGACTCAGAATTTTGATACATTCCTCAGGGTCATCCAGCTAAATTAGAGGAGGCAACCTCAGGAATTTTATGCAAATCAGTATATCACACTACTTCCATAATAACTCCATAATTCCTAACATTCGGTCAGATAGTGGTTAATCGTTTGCAGTAAATGAAGTTATCTAATTTAAACCTTGTGATAACTGTGTGATGAAGAAAAATATTGTTATTGTCCTTTTTTATAAATGAGAAAAGGGGCTTAGCAGTTCATATGAAAGCCACAGTTTATAATGTTAGAGCAAGCACTAACCACTGCTTATTAATATCTCACATTTGTTTAGTATTTCCACAGTTTATGAAATGTATTGGCATAAATTCATTTCAGCCTCAAGATAACTCTGGAAAGAATATATAAAAGAGTAATTATGGTGGCTTTCAATTAAAGAAAGAGAAAATGGGCAGATAACAAGTTAAGTACAGGTCTTGAGTTTAAGTCTTTGAAGTCTCTCACTTTTTTTCTTTTCTTTTTTTAATTGTAGTATAGTTGACTCATTCTTTGGCAGTGTTCCTCATTCCCTGTCTATATCAATTAGGGTTGCATTTAGCTGCATACAAAATAAGTCTGATTACAATAGTTAAACAAGTATAGGTTTTATTTTTCTCACCTGGTAAGATGGACAAAGGGCAGGGGAATTCAGTGGCTTTTATGATACTGTTACACACCTGACTCCTTTTCTTTTTTTCTTAGAAGGTAGCTTTTTGTTTGCATGCTTAGAAAGATGGGTGCTTCCAGTTTCCATGGCTCTCTTCCAGGCTGGAAGAAAGGGGAAAGAAGAGGGACAAAAGATCTATCCCAGATATTCTTTGCATTAGGAAAGAGTAGCTTGAAGTCCTCTGCTTGATCTCTTTGGCCAAGTGTCACATGGTGCACTTAGCTACAAACAGCCTGCTACTCCAGAGAATTAGAATCGTAATAAAGGAAATGCAAAGGAAGTTGTTACTGGATAGGCAAAGAGATTCACATTCTTTGGGCCCTGATTTCCACATCTGTTCATTTTAAGGATGGGAATAATAAGGATTATAAAATGCCCATTTTAAAAAAAATTATTCCATAAGACTGTGTATCCTTTCCCTCTAGAGTCTTACCTCCTCTAAAATAAAAAAGCCAAAAGTTTCTAACTTAGGAACAAGTTGTGTTCCAGATGGTTTCTGTAAGCTATAATAAAATGCCCTATTCTGTGATGGAGCTGAGTTGTGCAGTATGCTAGAATTGGGAAGGTGCTTGCTAGTCAGCAAACATTCTAGAATAATCAATAAGTCCTTAATTAGGTGTGGGTGGACCTTCTATTCCTGGATCGAAGGTTTGTTTGGCTTGTGTCCTCTTTCTGGACTGTTATTTACAGATCCAGACTGTATATTGATGTTGGCAGAGTACCAACTATCAAGTATTATATGCTTACCAGAATTGAGCTACACTTGACTATAATGGGAGCTAGATGGTATTGCTGGTGGTAATAGGTAGAGCAAAACTGATCAAAATCCTTATCAGACTTAATTAGAAGTAATTGAGTTTGAAATTCTAAGAAGCAGCAGGTATTTTACCAAAGTAATGTATAAATATGTGAGTGTGAGATATCCAGGCAGTGGAAATTTGTAGCTATTAGAAATAAGTTATAATGTCTGAAGTTGGTAGCAAAGTACCAACCACTTTTTATTTCCCATGTACTTTTTTTTAGCATATCTTACAGATAGAATAAACACATTCTGCTAACTATTTTATGTTTTCATGATTACCTCATCATCAATTATTTATTTCATAAGCACCTACTGATTTTTTTTTAAAGTGCTTGAAATAATTTTTCCATATACA